TTAAATTAAATTTAAATAATATTTTAATATAAATATTAATTTTTAAACCCTTGAAATCACATGATTACGTGATTAGGGCTGTCAAAACTACTATTTGTTTGTGAATGGCTTGTGTTCGGCTTGCTAAGCAAACAAGCCGAACACGTACACATTTTTTGATCTCGAAGTATAAATGATCTGAACGAGCTTAGCTTGGGCTCGCTCATGTTCGGCTTGTTTACACCTCTAATTAGTTGTGCCATATTTCTTACTTATATATTATTAAATGGTGATTTATGCAGTTGATTTAATTCAAAATGAGTTCTTATGATATTTAATTTTATTTAAATTTTACTTGCCCATTTATTGCTGCCATGAACTACTGAGAGAAAGAAGAAGAAGTGAAGAACACATTCCTTCAATCTTACAAGCAGAAGCGCAACACCATAAACCAAAACCTAAGAACAGCAGAACAAGCGTTCGCGTTCCATCGGCTACTTCCTCCATTATTCAACCCTAAACCCTAATCACACTCCCTCCCTCTTCCCCTCCACCTCTCATTCCACATCAATCGGCAGCAGATCCATCACCGAACCAGTCCCAATCCCTTTCGTGGTATCGTTCAGCATCCACCCCCTATAAGGATGGAACAGTATCTCCTCACTGCAGCTAAACTTAGGCTTCACAGGGCAGTCGATCGCCGCCGATCCGCCATTATCGACGCAGATATGCACCTCGAAAAGCTGAAACTTACCGAACGGCCCCCTGCTGCATCGGATCAGAGGCTCCGCGCCGATGCCTTCGGTAATGGCGCTCTTTATATCGGCGAGTCTGTAGAGATTGTAGTCGGGATGGATGCCATTTTTGACGAGATTGAAGGATATGTCGGCTTTCTGGAGGAGACGGAGGCCGGTTTCGAAGTAGCTGGTTTGGTTCAGGCCGGAGCAGACTCCATAGGTTTTCCACTTGGATCTCCAGCTGGATTTGCCATTGTTGCTAGGGCATTTGATGTTCGCCCAGTATGCCTCCAGATCGTCGCTCAAGCTTGAGATCTAGGTTTAGAAATCACACACATTTTAGAGCTTGGCTTGGACTCAGTCTATTAATGGGTTTTTATTTTTTTATTTTTTTATTTTTGGGCATTTACATATTTACCATGCAATTCCTATGTATTTACATATTTTAACATCAAATTTTCACTTTTTTTTTTAAGTGGACATCCAAATCTTTCATATTACATAAAAATTCAATTTTTTTTTTTAAAATA